CTCATTGTTTTTCAAATATTACGTAGAGTGTACACTGCGTACATTGAGCGAGTATACCGTGTGTTGGCCGAGCTGGACTGCGCTCCTTCTGCAGACATGTGACCTGGGGTAATGAACCTCTAAAACAGTTTAACAGTTGATACTTTTGTATACTTAAGATACCTTGCTAAGATGTCAGTACCTTGCTTTTGTAGATTGTAATGTCCGCGTCTCTCTGCCCAGACACCAGTTCCGAATTCCGCCGTTTTTTAGACAGTTTATTTGGTTATTCAGTAGGAATATTGTTCATAAGTTCATGATTTGCCGTATGTGGCGGATAAAAGAGTGGTTTGTCATACACACGGGTGGGTTGAGCGAGAACTTCGTCTTACTTATCCAATTACCATCTTACTTTTGTAGAGAGATTACATTATTCATCTCTTAATGGGCAGTGAGTTGCGCTCCAAAACAGATGTGATATTTTTTGATGAACATGTCGTCACATGTCGATTTATTGTTTCCTTCACTTGAAAATTTCTCTAAAATTCTGTGTGGCTAGACTAAATTCACAGATTAGAAATCGTGAGCTTGATCTGGTGCAGTTTATCCAATTTATTCAGACAAGCATACACAATGAGATGGCTACAAATGCGAAAATTATTTAAATATTTTCCATTGTAGCCGTCGCTACAAGCGTCAGTCATTAGCAAACTGCACGTGCTATAGCTACACCAAACCCCTGCCGTTTTGCGATATATCCGTCATCTCCCCCCCCCCCCCCCCCCTCCGACAAACTATACCTGAGATCTCCGACAGAGACAGCCCTTTCTGGAATGTGGTGGATTTTTGTGAGCACGTGGGCCGGTGAGTGGCGAAACGCAGGACGACAGTCTGGATTGTGTAGTGGGATAGCACATGGGCGATGCTGGCCGGTCTAAGCAATCATTGTTACAATGCAATTCTCTCTCCCTCGTTTACCAATTATATTAATGTTTTGAATGAGCTGGCAGGCTAGGTCACGTTGTTGCGGCTGTGCAGGTGACCACCCCCGCAGCTATCTCGTCACTTCCACCCACCTCACATCTTATCCGTTTCTACTTTTCCCTTAAACGGCTAGATAACCTCATGAGAATTTGAGGATATGAGGGATCAGGCCATCTGTATCCATAACATGATCCGTTCATTTGAGAGGTATCTCCGGTAGTCGGTATTGATTGGCGGTGTTGTGCGCACCAGTGAGTCAGCTGCTGAACTTCTTGTCAACTCACAGCGTGCAACGTCTGTCTTTCACCTGATCTCGTGGAGATTAGCTCGGTTGGTGGTAGGTGTCATTAATTGGCTCCTCTCTGATTGTCTGCTATCCCGCTTCTGTCTTAGATAAGCGGATAAAACAACCGACTCACTATCCGGATCGGTTGATTTTAGTTGTAAATACTGCTCCCGATACGAGCTGCTCATTTCTCACCTTCCTAACGGTTTGTCTGGTCCACACTCCACTTGACACCCAATTTCTCAGCTTCACAGTTCCTAATCCTCCTTTACTTACAATACGTTGGTGAGGGCCATTACCGCCCCTTCACCAACTTGGCTTCTCACGGGTCCTGCCCTGTAGCACCTGCTCGGGTTTCAGGCAGCATGCTCACAATCAGACATGCTCCGTCTGGGCTCGGGTACTTAACCTTCCTTTTAAGGGTAGGATCGAGAATGTTAAGACACATTATCTCGGAGGTGTTGTTCACTTAAGTGATTGTATTGTTCAGTTTTTAGCTTTTGTTTCGGCCCTCAAGTTCAGCCTTTTTGTTCAGGTATTTTACCGATTTCATGTACTTTTTTAGTTCGTTTTTACTTCTGAGACAGTGGTCATCGTAGCTGTTAAAGCACTTATTATGTATCATCATTAAAACAATTGCTATGCAGACTGAAGATCCTGAGTTAAAACAGTTTAGAAACAGTAGGTAGGTATGGAGCATATGCTGCATACACCGGAGATTGCTACTTACAACTTTTCCATAATTAATAGTTGAGTTACAAAAGGTCCTGATTTGGTCTGAATGAAGCAGGAGACTGATGTTACCGTGGATCGAGACATGAGGGATGATGTAGTGGACCAGGCGGTGGTATAGCAGTCGGTACTATATGGTAGCTTCCATTCTAGATTTAATCGTTCTAACATTAGCCGGTATCATAGGCTCGGTCATTATAGTTCTGTTTTACCGACATAATTCCCGACCCTTACTAGGGAGTTGCCGCCAACTTATAGACCTCTGCTTACAATTTTGTAATTTTACTTTTAATTTCGTAATTGTCAGTACATTTTGTCGAAAAAGTATCGAGAGAGACGGTGATGGCTAATGCGGTAGGTTTTTATAATTTAAGTAAATCTGGTACAATTTGTACCATCCTTGTGTCGTTACTCCGGTTGTCGCCCCTTCTCGTAGAATTAGATAGTAATAGTCCACCACAATATATCGCCCTTCAAAAGTTTCTGTTAACTTTATATGTCCCTAGTGTACCAAGTACATTTTATTGCTCTCATATGTTTGTTGTTTTGATCATTTGCCAAGTTTTGACGATCGTTCTATGCATCAAAAGGAGAAAATCGGCCATAAAACACACGGTAATATTACAAAAGTAGCGGGACGAAAGCATCTACCGCTTAATATTTTTCCTGGAAACCCAGTACAGTTCTTTATTCATTTATTCCGATGAGGAATTAACTTTTGTGTAACTATATAAATATTTGTGCAGTTTACATTTATAAATTATCATATTGTACAGCACTCACCGCACTGAGAGAGTAAGGCAGCTGTTGCGCAGTTTCTAGCATACTCTTAAGCTCCATGTAATAGCCTAGTCGGGATCATCAGTTTTTTAACCGTCAGGACTGTAGTTTTCTCCTTATCTCTTTTCATCATTATTATCTGTGGGAATGATTTCTACGGCAAAAACATCCACTTTCAAGCAAGACATCATCGAACTTCTCTTATCTTCTTTCTGATAGTTAGCAGTAGCACTTTAAGGTACAATTGGGTTTAAGGTAAGCGTAGTCCAAGTTCAGCAAGGTAATGTTTTCAGATCCTTACAGTAGCACCTAGCTCTTCTGATCTCTTGGGTTTCCTTCGTTACATTCTGAAGCTGTACTACTGTGACTTCAGTATTTAGACTCACTTAAAGTGACCCAATAAGCTGCTGTACCACCTTTCAGTCTAGTGGAGGAGATGAAGATTTGGAGTCATAACACTTGGGGAAGATAGGGATCTAGTGGTAGTTGAAGAACGAAGAACGGATAATTGTAATCATATGCTCCAAATCCGCTGTGTAAAATAAAAATAGTAAACTACAAAATTAGAAAATAATCATTTCACGCTGTGAACTGTATAGTTCACAGACACATTGATCTAGGGATTATAAAATGCATTAATTCTTCAAGGTGTTTGAATTTCATCTCTATTATACACTACAGACTACAGAGTGATTATAAGAAACGGTGGATTCTGTTCTCTATAACATTTTCAAAAGTTCGCACAATACATACTTACTGTGGTTTTGTTATTGATCGGTATGGAAAAAGAGGCTTTTCCAGCCAAGAAAGCGGCTGTTCCAGCCAAGTCTTAGACAGTTCACTTAGAAAGTTAATTAGTTCATTGTTGCAGTTCTCGGAAAGTGCCAGTGAATGTATGACATCTAGGTGGTGGTCTATGTAACTAAACTGTAGGTGCTCCGCTTTTATACTATCAGTTTGTCGTGTTATAATCTGTAGGTACTTGCATTCAGTCAGCAGCCATATGACTGATAAATCCTGCCATTCCACTTCTTACCCGCTATAACTTGCGAATTAAGGTGGAAAATCCCACGATCACTTATATAATGTCGACTATAATCCCATAGTTGACTTTTCTGAAAACCTCGGCATTTCAATTTGAGATGAATAAAATTAGAACTCGCCCTTGGAGTCTATCTTTGCAACTGCCGGATCACTCATCACGTCCCATATGATTGCTGATAGTTACATGATACATCACACCATGTAGCTGTAGCGACAATCTCTCTTCCGGTCCTGTTCTGCGACTAGAGAAAAGAAGTGTAACACCTATACCGCCGATGAAAGCGGAACCAGCAGACGCTAGAATTATGTTTCTTGGGAATTGGACTGATGGGAATCATGTGATCCTGTGTTGAGTGGTTGTAGAATGTAGATCACCTTCCTCACCCCTCCTCACTACCTGTGTTCTAGAACTCTGATGACGTAGAGTCTAGACTCTAGACACACTCACTCTCCCTCACCACACGGCTACAATGTTACTCGCACTGTCTTAACTATGTTAACTGGATACTGTTACACACCGTCCATTACTTCTCCTACTCAATTAACTCGGCCTCTCAACCTGGACCCAATTAACCAGGGCGCTATTGTCTGGGGGGTTAGTCCCACGGTCGAGACTTGTTAACCCAATCCCTGTTAGCTTTCCCCTATAAAATGTAGTTTGACTATTTAGCATTATTATGTTATTTCCATTGTTTTGTGCAGCTAGTGTGTGAGCTTTGTGTTGCAGGTGCTTGAACAGTTTAATTGGAAGTCTGCTCCTTCGTCGATCTTGTCTCGATCGAGAATTATGTAGACTTATTCATTCTTAATTCGATACTTTCATGTTGGATACATCGTACTCATAATTTTCGTCAAATTTAACACTTTTGGTTATAGCTTCCCTAAATTTAATTTTAACTTTATTGCGTTATATTACCTTTTTTTACCTTTTTAGTCTAGCTCTAATTTAAAGCCTCGACGATAAGTTCTGACCCTAGTGTTTTATATTAACATTTTGCTATGGTGGTCATAAGTGAAAATTAAAACCTAAGACATTTTGGGCCAGCAATTTCTGTGTTCTGAGCGATTTTGCTTTGCTTTTTAAATTTGAAAAGTTGATTCATGTAATTGGAATACTGTTGTTCAGTTGTAGTCTCACGCTGCTAATAGAAACCATACAAGCAAACCCTTAACCACTACCCACCTTTCCAGTAAACAAAGATTATGGTTGAATTTGCTGGCAAGATGTCAGGAATGAATGTCGACAAGAACCGGGGATCGTCTGCTAGCGCAGCACTGCGCTCTCCGATGTGCGCGAGGTGCCGGAACCACGGAGTGGTTGTCAGGTTAGTTATCGTAGAGTTTAGAATATTGGTTCCAAGAGTCCTGCAATTTTCTAGGATCAAGGATCAAGTTAAATAGTTTTTAAAGCTTTCTTTTGATCTGCCGTCAGATACTATAGGTAAAAAGCTATTGGATTAAACACTGAGACGCGGAGTGTCTTTGTAACTTTTAATTACTTTAACATTTTGTCAGCTTTACGCTACTGATGCAGGTTCAGGCTAGATATTTATCGACGGCACTTTGAATATAATGAATACAATTAAATCGCATAAAAACATTTATCTTATTTGCTGGTTTCAGCCATTTAATTTGTGTTAATCACAAATAACAATTCACAACGAAGTTTAAATATCCTTTTACGAGAGTAAGAGCTAACTGTCGGTATTATCAGGTTGTTGAGACACAAGAGGTTCTGTCCCTGGAGGGATTGCACGTGTGCACGATGTAGCTTGATAGCTGAACGTAGGAGGATCATGGCAGCGCAGGTAGCTCTTAGAAGACAGCAGGTAAGAAATAAGAAATAAGATCTGAAGTTATTTCAAGTTATGGTCTTACATTGAAATTCAGCTGTTATTATTGATTATTGTCATTGATTATGGGGCTTTGGCCTGCAAAATTATGAAAATTGATTTTAAGTTGTTCTACAACAAACTAACTTTCATTCCTGATTTTCATAATTGATCTTATTCTTAGTTCAAAATTATGGGGTTAATTTTATTGACTTTCGTATTTCGGCTAGTTTCCGGTTCGATTTCATGATCCTTTTAATATCTATTGAGCAAGTAAAATAATGTCTTGCCAGGCGGCAGGCCCAGAATCGACCTGTTGGGCATTCAAATTAATTTGTGCGCGCCCTGCATCAACAATCGGGTCTAGTTTTTGATAAGGTTAATATTTGCTTTAATTCCAGTAACGAGTATTATAACCAGATTATTTACAGGCGCAAGAAGAAACGTTGCTATCGACAAGACTTTCGCAATCTGGTGAGTCTCAATTAATTTCAAAACTTAATTATTGAGCATCTGTTTGCTGTTGAAGTTTTCAGGGCATCCAATGGCTTGATAATGATTTTGGGATGTGCGCCGTGCAATTCTCTTTATTTTCTTCATTAATCTTGTGATATAGTTAGATAAATTAGGCTATCAAACAACCATGGGGTTTATTAAGATGCATGGCTCCTAATTTATACTGAGCAGGAGTTAAAGCAGTAAAACGCTTTCAAAAAAAGTAATATTATCAACTGAAGCTGAATACCTTGCAATGCAAGCTCGTTCTCTAATTTATCGTTGCTCCCCTGGTGCCTGGTACGGGGAGGTGGTCTCTTCAAATTATCCCCGCACGAAATCGCATCGGGCCAAAGCAAATATAATTAATTTCCCAACAAGAAATAGAAGTACTCAGGTATTTAGATTAATTGATAGCCTTGTTTCACTTAGATAAACATCAACCTTCTAAAAGCGATACAAATTCAATTTTTTCATACACCAACATTTTTACCCTGCAGTCTAATTACAGAACAGTTCATTTCTTCCAAAGCGGGAATCCCTGTTGATAGTGAATATCGTCATTCTAAAAAACCCGCCCAACCTCTTTCACTTTACTTCTCTCAATTCGTCAACATTTTCAGCTCCGTTTCCGGAACTTGTTACAAATCAATAATACATGTAACATACTTGTTGGTCTGTAATTTATTGGCGATCATATCAGGCATTACATAAGATCTTGAAATATAGTTAGACTAACAGAGTACCTCATTATTCGTTAGATCAGCTCAGTCTCCGGAAATCGCAGACACGGAGCGAGAGATGAGACCAGTTTTCAGGGCTATTGCCGGCCATATATACTCATTATACTTTATAGGAGTGAGGGATGTCTCTTTCTGGATATCAGACTTGTCGCTGAAAATAATGTTTTAATTTTTAAACGTGGCATCTCGTTAACCGCAGTCTGTATTTACCTGCTGTGAAATATGCCCGCTGGAACATTTCATAAACACCTTGTAACGAAGACAATCTGAAATATTGTAGCTATATAATATACTGATCATGTTATAATATAAGTACATGTACACAGTCTCAGCTGAAGATGATAGTGGCAGTGAAGAGCTTGTGAGACTGAGCGGCGGTGGTAACAAGTATATAAGCTTCACAGTCAATTGTAACCGCTTGTTGTTACCTAGCTTCTACCACTTGTTCTTCCTTCCTTCTTACGTGCAGCAATCAAAACTTTGATGGTCGACTTTAAAATAAACAATTGAGCCAGTAAATTGAATACTCGCTTATCTTGTTAAAGTTATTGTTCGAACTTCATGCTAACTTCCATCGTGGTGCACGGCTCTAAGTGAGAATAGCCCAATGAGGCCTCGTTGTTCTCTAATGCAAGCAATCAGATGAGAGTTAATGAGGCCTGACCAATAGAACTGCAAGGTTATTATCACGTGACCTCGTGACACTTCTTATATGGACATCACGTGACCTGGTATGATCACGTGACCTCGTCAGGCAACATCAGGAATACCCCCCGCAGTTCACATATTAATCATCCGGACGGCATTCCCTGCATGTAATCAGCAGCTAATACTTCTCTACCATTGGTCCATCCTCTACATACTTGATCTTGATTGGTCAAAAACACAGATGCACTTGTTACCAATGCATCGAATATTGATACTAATATTCAGCAATAATAATATGTGTTACTCGAGCCATATATGTATTTAATATGACTACTATAGGAAGCTTAGCACGCACTAGAATAGTCAACTTTATGAAGGTCCTGAGGAGTGGACCCAGCTGCAGTGCTCGGCCACCACCTTATAAGGTCATCACGTGACCACCACCACTACACCGGCTCCAAGGTGCACTTTCTTCTGTTTTATTACCTTATCATTGGTATTCCATCTTGTGGGCAGGCTGCATAATACATTATATGCTACTATGGGTGAGCTGCATATTACATTATAATATGCTACTACATACTCATCATTATTAGCTTTGCTCCACTGTCGCCTGGTGCTACAGCCAACTGAGACGAGGGCAAGAATAATATCCGACTAAAGTGGAGACAAGAATGCACTTATTTATAGGTTATGTCTGGGATAAGTATTATGTTTACTGCCAACCAACGTTAGCTCCTGCCAGCGACCACTTTTGGGGAAGTCCCTCTCTGGAAGTTATGTGACGGCTCAGAAAAACAAGCACAGAACAGCGTCGTTTCCCCGAGAGTGCTGCTCTAGACTTTACTTTAAAATTTCTCCCCAATTGCAACTATACCCACAGAATTCGATTATTTGTAACTTATATTCAGTTACTGGTCTCTGCTAAAGCAGGTATCGTAGACAAGCACCAAATGTAGTGCCTGGGATGACCTGACCCAGAATAGGATCCCGTAATAATATTCACCTTATTGAATATATACCTTAATGAATTGCAACAAATACCCTGCCCGGCTCTCATTGGGTCAGCGCATATTATCTTTCTATCAAGATTGAGATGCTTATTAGATGAAATCGACACCTTAGCCAGGCAGGCTACTACACTCTGTCAGGGGGATCTCTTTTAAGTGGAGAATGCGGTGGCGGCCCTTCAAGTTGCCCGCCTCGGTTCAAAATGTGCTGCTTGTGAATTGCTCGGTCGTGCTTAGGAACAGTTACAGGAAAACTAGTTGTCTCTGTTACACTGGAAGTCAGAATATATCGTTACAAAACAATATTACACTCGATAACAATAACGGTGGCGAGCTTTTTTTAATCGATAATTACTAACGGTAAATTTTCTGTACGAGATAATCTTGTCCCCGCTGATGACAAACGAAAGATTCTGATTTTAGAAAGTTATCAGAAAGTCTTGAAATTATTGAACTAAAAGAGCGATAATTTGTTAAGTTATAACCGTATTTACTTTTTGCTACTTATAATTTAATCATAACGCTTTGTAAGTTTAGACCTAAGATAATTCATCAAGTGTGAACCGACAAGTACCGTGCGATTCAGACATTCCGGCCGACTAAAAGTGTTGCCAAAGCTTCGGAATTAAACAATAAACTTGAAATTATCAAAGATAGTACGCCCTTACATACGTTAACAAATTAAACATCAAGGCTATCAAATGGAAATTATAAATTAAGGTTCAATGAATTAAATGGAAAGAAGCACTAATTGATGTTAACCTTGCCAAAGTAAACTTACTTCATACTCTCATATTTTGAATACGAACCCAGTGGCTAGAAAACGTACAGAAATTAAAGAAAATAAACCCTTTCTGTAAACTGTAACCGACAATACTAACCTTACTTATTTTCAGAGCCAGTAAAAGTACATTCTCTCTCGGCCTCTCCTCCCCTGATGTACAGCAACGCCTCTATCCACCCCAATCAGCAAGCCATGGACTCCGGACCCCCACAGCTAAGTCCCCCACACTCCTCCCCCGTCCACATCTCCGCTTCTCAATCCTCCCCCGCTCCGCTCCACTCCAATGCGTTCGTGTCAACGGCACAGGAGACCTCACCTCTTCAGTATAGAGTATGTGATACCATCATCTTCTGTCACCTTTAAAATTTGCATTCCCTGGGAACTTAATCCCGACTGTCAGAATTTAAAAAACTATGCCGTCGAAAGCATATTTGTGCCTGTTTAGACAATTCTTTAAAAACTGCGTCTCAGTATAGAGTTAGCATAAATCACGGTAACCACAAGGTTGCTCACCTTAGGATTTTCTCCAGGGAACCCCCGCTGCTGGTCAGAAGAACACAGGCACTAGACCCGTTCAACGCTCCACCATTGACCTCTTGGTCCAACTGTTCCCGGAGCTGCCCCAGCACCGGCTCCAGATGATCGCTCACACGTACGGTGATAACAAGATCATGGCCATAGAGAACGCCCTTGCTATCCGACGAGCTCAGGTGGGTTATTGTCTAAACCGAAACTCGAAATTTTATGAAATATGTAACTTATTATTAATGCTATGTAATGTTTTGCGTGATTCTGTGGTAACACTCCTCCAGTTTCCATGTGATTTAAGAGAAACTGAGTCACGGAGTCACTAGTCTCACACTATGGTTAAGAGAACACAGGCCGCCAAACCGCTAAATAATCGGTCTCCGATGCAGTGCGGTCAGTTCCTCCTACAGCTAGGAACAGATTCCCAGCCGACGAGCTGCCTGGAAATACGCGGCCATCCAATCAGAAATGTCCTCCAAGCCACGTGGACCCTCAATCCGCGTGGGACACTTTATGAGCGACCTGCATACCATGACTCAAGTTTAATAATATGCAAATGTAACATATTATGTTGATCTATAAAAATTGCTACAAAATATAATAATGTTTTAATATGATTCATTGTTGTGATGTAGGCTGGAAGAGCTTTGTGACAATGTAACACACCAGCGTAAAGCTGTCTCCGCGGCTCCTCACATGAGAAGGATGACGAGCTGTTCGTAGTTTAAATATCGCTTTGATCTACTTGCTCCACTGCCGTGGTGTCTTGCCGGTGATTGTCCGAGCCTGGCTCTCGGTGCCACCTCCAGCTGGGTCACATTCTGTTAGGGAGCGAGCACACCTAGACCTAGTACATACCTTGGTTACCGATACCCTTCCCTGGGCTGAGGGGATTCGATATGTTTTTATTAATATCTAGCGCAAACAGCGGGTTTACTGGGATATACGTGGAGAACTTCAGGGTTATGTTCATGGATGGGTCTGGTCCGAAAGAGTGTGTTCACGCCGACTTGTTAACTTGTGCTAACTTATCTAACTTGGTGTCTGAACCTAGAGGATCAAACCCACGAGGGCTAACTCTAATCAAGCTAGATTAAGGTCCGGTATAACGCCCGTCTAGTACTTAATCTCATCACTGTAAACTGACCTAATGTTTTCCCAGGAAGAAAGTGCGATGTTGAGTTACCCCACCTTCACTAAACCCACTGCGCTGGGACAGAGAGACCTGATGTTGCAGCACCTCACTCAGCTCTCCCAACAAGATCAGGTTAGTTATCCGAATAGTTTCACGGTTATTCTTATCCAGCTTTCTGATTTGTTCCATCGTCTCGCTAATACTACAAATTCTGCTGTAATCATCATGTATTTGTTCGAGTGAGCGAATAGTGAAATATTGTGATAGTTACAGTCATTGAACTGACTCAAAATTTAGTTTCCCCTGATAACACATTACTAACCTTCAGGTCAGTCAGCTAATCAGACCGCCTATGTTCCCGATTCCCACTCAAGCCCAAGCCACGAAACCCAAGCTCAGTTTCTCGATTCAAGCCATCATCGAGAGTGGCAACACCAGCCCTGACTTTCAAAGGTAAAAATCCGTTTTTAATGGGCAATATCTTTAAACTTAAGTTATGAAATGATACTCAAACTTGTAACTTCTCCTCAAGTTCAATAACGGGAAAACAATACTTGGATGTTTTATCTGGGCAAGATTTGAACAGTTTTAGACCCCTCACCAATCCCTCACCAACCCCTCACCAATCCCTCACCAACCTCTCACTAATCCCTCTCTTTCCCAGGAAAAGTCCGGACAGCACGAGTGTTGTGCAATCATGCGAAAGTTCCTTTAGACCGGTAGTGAGTAGGAACAGTCTAGGACTCTGACACGGCCAGACTCGACTTGAATTCTAACTTCTTGAAGTGTAACCTATCTGCCTGGTGAAAAGTGATAAAGTATAAACAAGATATCAGAGACGAATCTTGGGTAAGGAGTACCAAGGATGTGTTCTCAGTTTGGATGTGATAAACGGAAAGACAATAAGAAGTTGTCTCCGGAACTGCTAGCTGTGAAATATTTGTTATGGAGTGGTTAAGTGAGATAGTGATAGTAATAAGGACTTTCAAGCGAATTGTTTGATGTTGTTTTGTTTTGCGTGTTTTGCGATTTGCTTTAGTTTGTTACTGCTAGAACGCGTGTGTGTATTCTTATTCTACTGCAAAGAGTATATATATTTTATGATCAACTTAAATGTATATTTCGTTTATATTAAACGGTTCAAACTATTTTAAAAACCTCGAGTTTCATTTCTACAACGAAGAGCAACAAAGCAGATTGCAACAAATCAGAAATAAGATAAAAGCCAGGTCCAGCTTAGATTCAAATGGAATGAGGGTAACAAGCTACCTTTTAGTGCCCCAAGCACAGCTTCCTCCAGCCTGTCACAGTGCATGACTCGTGAGCTGGCAGTCCATTAGTGCAGTCCATTAGCCAACACTGAGTCTCGGAGTCACGGACTAACATTTCACCTCTGAAGAGTGATAATATTGATAAAGGAGTAACAATATTAGGGTGATAAAGCGTGACTCGTCATGGAATTGTAGCAAAATAGAGTGTCAACTTGCAGCATGACATCAGACCACGTGACATCAGACCACGTGACATGCTGCGCGCATTTAATTATTTGGTAATCGATACTTTTAAATTCGTCACGCTACTGATTGGTGATGCGTGATGAAGGATGATTTAGAACTGGCGATGATCATCCAAGCGTGACTAAATGTGAATGGAATTCCTTTCGGCAGGTGACTGGTTTCTAAGAAACAGTTTGTTTACCTACGTGATAGAGTAATATAACCCGGATGTGTGCTTCTCGGAAGACATAGACTGGCTTAAAGTTTAAAAACTGAATCGATCTAAAATATGCATCATGTAGTTAAGAGTTAAGACTTAAGGCGTGTCTCATGTTTGACCTAATGCACGACGATTAATAATAATGGGAGTGGAACATGGGAGTGTACTAGGTGCAGTATAAGTGCACTAGGTGCAGTAAAAGTGCAGTGCAGGTGCAGTATAAATGCAGTGCAGTATAAGTGCACTAGGTGCAGTATAAGTGCAGGGCAGGTGCAGTATAAGTGCAGTGCAGGTGCAGTATAAGTGCAGTGCAGGTGCAGTATAAGTACAGTGCAGGTGCAGTATAAATACAGTGCAGTATAAGTGCACTAGGTGCAGTACAAGTACAGTGCAGGTGCAGTATAAGTGCAGTGTAGGTGCAGTTCAAGTCGGAGTGTTATTAAAACTGGAATCGAAAAGTTTATGTTAAGCAGCGTCTCTGTGTCTGTTAATCTTATTTAAACTATCCAGTATCTAGCTATTTCATTCTTACATCTAATTGAATTATGTTATTCTGTACTATTCATTTGTTTCAAAATTCAATTCTTCGCATGTAATGCAGTTCTTTTGCTGTAAGTGAAGCCGACGTCTGCATGACACGAAATAATGAAATTTAACCGATCTAACTTATTTTAACGATAGTAATACGTAGCTTGCATACATATCTTACACAAGTTATAGTAATACTTATATATTTTATTTCAGACTCAATTTCACCGATACACAGATCACTGTTATGTGTCCATAAGCAAATTATACTGGAATCCCTGTCCATAGATCCTTATTTTTACAACTAATCTAAATGTAAACCTTCTGCATGTTGTGGTTAATTGTAGCGCTAACAGATTTATTATTCCTCTACAGCATAACCATATCGCTTTGTGTCCCCTAACTTGCACTTTCAGTTCCACCTTCAAAAGGCCAAAGTTTATGTGGTTCAGTCATCATGTGATACTTTTCCGAATTCAAAGCGACATAACCCTTTGTTTTACATGTCGTTGTTCGGAATTATCAGCGTCAAAAATACGATAACCAACCTACGAACTAACACGCTGTAACAAAGTCATAAAGGCTCCCATTATTATCTTCCATCTTCAATCGATTATTCTCTTATACTTTATTATCATGTAGTTTCTCGTTTTCATGTAGCCGATCTTTGGATATTTGTTGCCGGTTCACGGTTCCTAGATTTTTTTGCCGGTGTAGACAAAGACTCAAAGAGCGATTATAATTAGATTTATAGATTATGTTACATAAACTATAAAGTCTTACATTTTCATCTTATGCAAAAACGACTTTTATAAGTGTTAAAATGAATTAATTAACATCGTGGTTAGTGTTTAAAACGGTAACTATATTGTTTAGATAGTTCAGTAAAAATAGTCCAAATTTGCCAAACATTTGTGCAGTACTTGACCTGATGATACCAAACAACTCTAATAGCCCTCTAATAGCCATCTAAAAGTTGGTCGGCATTGTACCTATTTGCCTACTTTATAACATTCTTCCAAAATACACCACTTCAATTTAAATGGTAATGTTTCTCATATAATCTATACAGAGCATTATATATAACATCAGTTTTATTTTAAGTTGCGGTTTATGGTGTAGTTATGACCATGCCTTCTAGTCAACAATTCGACAGACTTCAAAGAATGGTCATCGCAGAAAGAAGGTATCTATATCGTTTAAGCCAAAAAATAGCAAAACACCAGACTAAATATTTTTGTTTCACCGTTGGCAGACATGAAAATTACTTCCATTCAATTTCAACAAGGTTGGGCTCGAGAATATGATTATATGATGATCAAAACATTGCAATTTGGGAGAGAAGTCAGAGTCATGAAGCTTCTGGAACATTTCTTGAATGATTTCAGCGCAAGGCTGACCTGCCCACAAATATACTGGTCAGTGTGCCATGATCAGCTCATGATGATATATTATTATATTAATTGATTGTGCCCTAAAAGTAAAAGTCAAAAGATCATGTTCACCTTCTGCTAGAGCGTATAACTCACACTTTGTGTAAGACTACGATATAATAAGTAGTTAAGTTGGATACTTGATACACTTTAGGCTTCTTCGCTCTATAAATGGGTATCAATAAGCAGCGCCCAAACATTAGGCTGAGTAGCTCACGTAAATTCCATCATCTCCAATACACAATACCAATCGTCTTCATTACCATAGTATAAGTCAGTAAAAACTATGCCTCACGTGGCACCAAGTCATTGGTACTCAGCTTTATATCTTGCGTTCGTATCCTAAGTTCCTGGCCCTCGCGTGCAAAGTTTCTTATGACTAATCATGATTCTTATCTCATACGTTGTTCTTATCTCGGTAATATATTCAAAATGTCATGCTGCTGATAATGTGACATCCATTTTGTCCAAAGATGGTAAGTTTCCTATACTACTTCATCCGTTTGATACATTTATTCTTCGCCCGATGGCCGATGGCATGCGAAATCACACAGCGTGAGCGAAACTGAAACTGAAACTGAAATTTAAACTGAAACTGATATATTCAGCACCTCAGCCGTGCTCCAGGCTGCGCTTCTTGCCAACTGTGTAAATATCCCAGTTGGTGGACCTAGCCTCCTTAAGCTAAGGTACCGAGGTAAAGTAGTTACCCCACAAACAAACAAACAAACAAACAAACAAACAAACAAACAAATAAACAAATAAACATAAATATTATTATAAAATATTAATGTTCGTGAGATAACATATGTCCTACACCACTCAGAGCCGGTTTTCTTCACTCGAGAGCCAGAAGGAAGAACAATTGGTGAAGGAGAGGAGCTCCGGCTGTACTGTAAACTAGACCACGAACCTGCCGGATTAAAGTACAGCTGGTACAAATACAATGAAACTTCTGCTGAGGATTTCAAGGATATTCTTTTACAGGTATGTCTGGTCCACATATCACAGCTGATTTTCATGTTTCTAAGTCTTAATTAGGTAAACATGTGGTAAAAATAATGTATTTTTGGGAATGGTTTTTCCATATAAGTTACAATTTGTGTTTTATTTAGTATACTATTTTTTCCCTGGGATAACAACGTATCTTTTAGGTTTACGGACAAAACTATGACAGAATAAATCTGGTAGAGGGGTACACTGGCGATGAGCTTGTTTTCTCCAGTATAGCTAGAGAAGATATAGGTTACTACCAATGTATCATTCAGACTGGTTCCTACACAGTATTTAGCGGGATCGCCCACATTAAAGTATATAATTTTGTTCCTGCTGCTTTTTTTGGTTTAAGTTTAATTATCAGCTATTATAGTAATACTGTATTTCTTAAAGAAAATCCTGTTGATACTTAGATTTCGATTTCTCCGAATCTAGTATTATAAGATTTTATAAACGAGACAAAACTTTAATAATCTGTGCTCAAAATTATTTCCATCAGGTGAACTATTTCGATGAACCAGCTGCATTAGTCAGTGTTGAGTCGAGAAATGTTAAAGCGTTTGAGGATGAGGTCTATCTTCCATGTGCAGTTTTCGATAGTTCACCTGTCGTTGACGTTTACTGGTAAGTTCTCTATCAACATAGATGATATGTAATCTGTCTGAATCTTTTATTCAGTGTAATGTCAATCATGATGGAGCCACTCAATTAGCGATACTTCGATAATCCCATTCCATAATAATTAGAATTGTACGGTAACTTAAACTGTAATAGAATGAAACAAGAAATTCTTGTAAAACATAACTGAAGTTGCACTAGCACAGTATACCAACCTCACGGTATTTTCAGGACTCAGAATGGTTCTAGGATATCAAATGAACGAATGTTCGTTTATCCCGAAGAATATTATTATATTGAAAAGATCACGAGGGGAACTTTGCTAATATTGAATGTGCAGCAAGGTAGAGACAGTGGGATATATGAGTGCCATACAGAGAAAACCAAGGAGTTTCCCAAGGAAAAGGTGCTCACTTCTTATCAGGTGAGGATTGTTGGAAATTAGGGAAACAGCGATTTTTAGTTGAGCTAAAATGCTTATATCAAGTATTCGGGCTGCCCTCAGCCCGAATCGGCTGATTTGAGAATCGAAGAATATGCTAAACTGTTAAAGCGTTTTTTATTACTTTCGATTAATCTATAAATTTAATTGAAAACCTTGCGAGTATAACAATCAAAACCAGGCTTCAGTAACAAAAAGTAATACTTGACCATAAGTGAGCCTCAAAAGTCAAAACTTTCACTTTTCAAATTTCACTGATACTTACATACTAAATAATTTGGTGATCTTACTCAGCACACTCACTGCTTCCCAGATTAAAACTGTCAAAGAAGGTTTTGATGCCTATACTCAAAAGTGGGTGGTTCCAGCATTTTCTTCGTACAACGAAATTGGCGGAAACGTAGTTGTGGAATCAGGGGATACTGTAACTTTGGCATGTGCAGCAAGAGGTTACCCTATTCCTACTTACACGTGGAAAATTGGAAATAGTCAAAGCGATAAGATTATCAGAAATTCAGAATTCTTCGAACTGAAGGCAAGTAATTAAAAAACATTTGATCACACGAGCCTTTTCTTATCTATATCGATAAGAGATGTTAGCAACCTTAAATTTTATTCTTCTAATAAATTTCGTTATGATCATTGATCAGATTTCATAATTGTACATCAGCTTCAGATGATACATCAAATTCTTTGACTCTATAGTCTATATTGACATATTTTATTTTTCTTATCAATGTCGTTATATTGATAAGTTGATCAGTTTTCATAATTTTACATCAGATGATACATTAAATTCTCTGACTATTTGTAAAATTGATTTAAATAAATGTTCACGACTAATTTTTTTTAGGACCACGACAGACGCCTGGTAATTAACAACATTGGTGCAGCATTGGACTTAGTTTGCATCATGAGGAACACTTTCAATGGCAAAGATCGCGAGAACCAAAGGCCATTTTACATCATACTTAAAAATAAAACTAAAAGTTCTGCTATTGAGTTCATTAATGATAGGACAAACCAGTCAAGTGTCACAATTCTGAAACCTAATCAGGTGAGTTATCATAAGTTTATAATAATCTTATTAGAGTCGTCACGAAATATATTATTCTAAAATTCATAAACAATTCATGATACAAATTTGTCAGTTCGAAATTTAAATACTTTTTCCCTAAAGCTCCTCATTATTTCGACAGTCAACAAGCAGACCGATGGACTATAAATATGATCGCGATACTGTAACGAAATACTAATTATATTAATTATAAATATAGTTAATTATATTATTATTGATTACCTTCAGTATAAACCGTTTACTATGGGATGTCACGTCAGTGAGGATGATTACCAAATCTTGTGGCTGAAGAACGGAAATAAGGCTGACTGGATATCGAGAGAAAGGGTAGAGGAGACAAGGAACAGTACATCGGTCACGTTTACCTTTAAATCTCCCAACGAGAGTGATCTTGGTAAGTAACCGCACTATATTTTAAGTATAATTCCGTGATCCAGCCCCAAAATTAACTTTTATTGTAACCTTACTGTAACACTGACATAACCCCTAACTCATAGCTAATTATGTTTATTGCGGTAGTATAGGGGTAATATTTACTTTCTTTTTTTTTCCTTTTTTTTTCTTTTTTTTTTAAATGAGGAACCTGCCAAACCCCAGGACACCAGGAGGATACCACCGGCAAAGCGGCTAATAGTACCCTCCGGTCTGTGTTGTAACGAAGAAGCTGAGTTAATCGATCATGACTCGGCTTACCAGCCAAGAGGGAAGATCTGAGCGGCACCAAGGGTTCAGAGAGTGTCATTTCAGCTTCTCCGGTGCTGGATGCCCTGGGGTTTCACATGCGCCGTAGCAAAATAAATATAAAAACACACGCACACAATTTTTTTTAAATTCTTTTAGATAAAACGTCGAATAAAGTAGGGCCAAAGCTGTGACCGTTCCACCTTTTTTAAACCACATTTATACACTATATTGTGACCGAACTGATTTGCGGCTTTCAGTTTCAGTCACTTGGCTACAATGTTTACCATATGGATGAAGCTTGGAATATATTAATCATTTAAATCAATGATCAACATCTCATCATAATTCGGAATCTGTATTTATATAATTGAATTATCCAGGAGTTTACCAATGTGTGGTAGTTAGCTCGGACGGAGAAACTGTCAACGTGAAGCAGCAAACCACTTATATCACCCTTCAGAAGGACCTTCCGACCGTGGACTTCAGAAGCAAACAACCAAACTATTTGTTTCTACATGGACCTTTTCACGTCAGTTCTCTGACGATTCATTCGAAATTTAATCATTTGTTTTTTGCCTCAATGCTTAATAAGTTAATTGTCATGCCGCATGCGTCAGGTTTTTGGGAACATATAAAACCATTTTGAACTAGCGCTTTGTTTTGAGAACAATTATACCTTGCAATGATAACACCATCCGTGACATTGTAGGTTGACAAGGCAGAGGAAGCATGCAAAGATATTGGTATGCATTTGGTCAGTATTCTTGATCTCGAGGAGAATGAGGCTGTTGTGCAAATTGTCAGGAATAATAATGTAAGCTTTATAGTCAGTGTAATAAGCGCCAAGCGCGAGCACAGAACTTTTTTTCTCCGATTTCAAACTTTTAGTACTAATATTTAAAATTTAAAGGAAAATTTGGTGTTTCAAAAATTATAATTTTAGTACCAAAAGTTGCGTCTGACTAAGTTCATTACGATCCTGTAAGAATTAGTTCAAAAAATTCAATATTTTAGGAGTTATAGGCATTTTAAGCAATAAATTACCTATTTTTCGTCCTTTGTACACTCTTGCGATGCACAAAAAACCCACATACAGCTCGACGTTATCGTGCTACACGATGAATTTTCATTATTCACACTTAGAGGCAACTTTTGATACCAAATTTATCAAAATCAGAGACAAAAAATTCTGTGCCAGCTCATGGCGCTTATTACATAGACTATTACCCGCTCCCAGGGTTGTAATAGATAACTTCATGCAATTTAAGCTATTCTCAGTTTGTGTCCTTTTATCGATAATGAAAAACGGTGGAATTAACGTTTTCAAAATGTTTCATTATCACTCATCAGGTGTCAAATGTCTGGATAGGGTTGACAAGGGAAGTCCCTGAACCAATGGGAACATGGCGCTGGACTCTGCCCGGAGACGCCTCCTTTACTTTCAGTAACTGGGATCACGGTTTGCCTCTTCTGTTTTAAAATATATTTTCAAACCAATTGGGTCACATTGGGTCACTGTGGGCCACTGTGGGTCACTGTGGATCACTGTGGAGTGTGGGTCACTGTGGGTCACTGTGGAGTGTGGGTCACCCTGGGTCACTGTGTAATAATCAAAGTAATCTAAAGTTATTCTCAATCAGGGAAACCAGACAATCAGATTGGATATCAGGAGTATGCTGTAATGAAGAACGAAACTGGTAAATGGGAGGACGTAAGAAGAGATTCCTGGAAAAGACCCGCGCTCTGCAAGAACTACACTGTGGCGTGTACTTCTGTTGATACATTTTACCAAGGTTGATAATTTTATATAATAAAATTTAATTTAATATGTAAATTTAATATGTAAATTTCAAATTGTTTGCCCCAAATATCTTTTTGATGTCACACAGATTTAGTATTACCAGCGACACATTTTTACAAATTATCCTAATTCGGCTGCACGACTTAGATCAGAGGGCCTTCAATTATCAGGGGTCCCACGGTGATCAGATCAGTTCAATTAGGCAATTAGTGACGTATAATTACTAATTATACGTCACTTATTGGTGATACGATTAATGAACCCCTGATAATTGGGGGCCCTCTAAGTCGGCCTTCCATTAATTCTGTTGTTTCCTAATTGTTGAACCACAGGACGAGTGAGAGTGGGCGGTTGGGAACCTGCCGGGGCAACATACTATGTGGGGGAGAAGGTCCAGGTTTTCTGTCGATACCCCAACAAGAATAAGGTTTGTTTATGGAGACATAATATTAGTTACCTGGGGACCTCAGGCTATCATGTTCATAAACATAGACTTAGAGATTAGCCGGAATTTTGGCTGAGCGCCGCCCAGTAAAATATTACTATTAGTAAACAGTAGGTCAGTTAGCTGACAGATCGCGAAGTTACTTTTATCGGAGTGAATTTGTTATACTTATAGGCATAGATTTGTATTATATCTACAACGATCTATTTTTGTTTTTCTCAAGACGCATAATTAGGCCCCGTGAGCAAGTGTGTTACTGTTAAATTACGTGAGCAAGTCTGTTAAATCACTTGAGGCTGAGCAAGTCTGTTAAATCACTTTACATTTGAATGTCGAGGTCCTGAATTGGTCTTAGTTCATTCCATATTTCGTAAGCTATTTCAATGCCACTGATTTGATGGCTTCGGGTTTTATTGTAATATTATAAGATCAACGCGGTAAATAATTAACTTATTCATCATGAACTTTCTAAATCAAGTAAATTTTCACTTAATGGTTGAATCAGATTTATATATTATTTAAATAATCGTTTCAGAATTCGACAAGTTCTCAAGTTATTACTTGCGGCCAGGACACGAACTTTGATCAGCTTCACATGGACGATTGCACGGACCGGGACAGTTTCTTTCTTTCAATAAACTCTTCATCTGACACTGCCACTCATATCTACGTAATAATTATATTGAGTTTGTGTTTTTGCACTCAGTTTTTACAATGAAAATTAACTAATTAAAGTTTATCATGTAATAAAATAAAGTTAGCACTAATTAGCAGCCGAGTTATAATATGGACTTGGGTAACATATAGTTTTGTAGTGAAAAATTATCGGCCTAAGAGTAAGAGTAGGGGTCAGCTGTGATTTAGATTTTAATTACGCCATCAAAAGTTTTGATACATTTGATTTTATTGTAAACTAATCAAGATGTCTTGAATTTGAGTATAAACATAACAAATATGTATAACTATATTACTATTAGGGTGGTTCAAAAAAACCAAGTTGCTCAAATCTTTCCCCACCAATACATAAAAATAAAATTTGATCCTATGGCTTAAAAATAAAAATCACCTTGAAATTTTGTTGCTTTAATAATTTCCCCTCCAGTTTTCTGCTGATAACTCGAAAGAAGCGCGCACATATCTTAGTAGTAAGCTAGGGGTCGTTCACATATTACGTAATCAGCCGAGGGGGTTTCTAAATGATTACGCTAGTGAAATTTTGACACAGCTCTGTGTAAAAATTATTACGAGGGGGAGGGGGTTAAAAATTTGCCAAAAAGTGATTACGTAATATGTGTGAACGCTCCTAATAAAAGACTTTGATAAATGCAAGAATAAAAGGTTGAAATTCTATATTTTAACAAATATAAACGGGAAACATTATCACTAAATCATACTCATAGTCATTTTATTGACAGATATGGTAATACTAATGTGCATGACTGAGAATGAGGCATTTTGTGTAGCAAAAAAATATGATACGTTCAAGCACCTGGAAGGAAGCTGCTCAAAGTTGGTGATATGATAACAAGGTAAAGGTTAATATTTTAGCGTGGAGATAATAAGATGGAAAAAACGGGCGAAAGATAAAATCACAACACGGAGAGTTGCTCTCGTTTATTTGGTTCCAGACGTTTGGTGCTCCTCTGGACTGGTGCAATGCAATATTAAGTACGATCTTGGAATCGAGGCTTCCCCTTGGGAAAATGGGCGATTAGGTTTGGCCTCTATACGGCCACTATACGGCCTCTATAATACGGCTCCTACACGGCCACTATACGGCCGTAAAGAGGCCGTATAAAGGCCGTATAGTGGCCGTGTAGGGGCCATATAGAGGCCGTATAGAGGCCGTATAAAGGCCATATAGAGGCCGTATAGAGGCCGTATAGTGGCCGTATAGAGGCCAAACCTAATCGCCCATTTCCCCTCCCCTTTGTAAATGTAATGCGACTCTACTAATGTAATGACATAATGCGATCTCGTAAGGCCGGCTTCCCTTTGCCATATCAGTTAGGAAGCGGCCGGTGTATACCTGTAGAGTTTAGAGGTACGTTTCGAGAATGAATCGGACCGAAAATATTTTAAAATTTTATGTAAACCACCTTTTTCCACGGTTCATGTTGTTTTGATCATTAGGAGCCGAAAGGTCCGGACTCCGGACCTTATCATCGATATACGATATTGGAATCGAGGCTTCCACTTTGTAATGCAACTTCGGGAGGCAACTGGCAAGCCACCCCTATGCTATGCGTGCTTGGAAGCAGGAATTCTACCTTGAGTATAAGTGTGAGTGTGAGTGTGGGTGTGAGTGTGAGTGTGAGTGTGAGTGTGAGTGTGAGTGTGAGTGTGAGTGTGAGTGTGAGTGTGAGTGTGAGTGTGAGTGTGAGTGTGAGTGTGAGTGTGAGTGTGAGTGTGAGTGTGAGTGTGAGTGTGAGTGTGAGTGTGAGTGTGAGTGTGAGTGTGAGTGTGAGTGTGAGTGTGAGTGTGAGTGTGAGTGTGATTTTGAGTTTGAGTTTGAGTTTGAGTTTGAGTTTGAGTTTGAGTTTGAGTTTGAGTTTGAGTTTGAGTTTGAGTTTGAGTTTGAGTTTGAGTCTGAATATTTTGATCCTGAATAATGGGCAATCATTTCTTTTCTTCGCCAAAACCCTAAAATCTTTTGTGTTAATCTAACATTTGCCTCATCTGATTGTTTTTAAATCTTTTTAAATGTGACTGAGGGTTCTACCGTGGTTTCTACTATGTTCTCTATTTTTATAGATTGTTCTTCAATAACATCCTCATCAGCCAAAATGATATTGTTGTCCTCTGTACATGGATTCCCAATAACATGTGGAGCCAAGTTCTTCCTAACCCTTACTTTCACAATAGAACTCTTCAGATGAGCATCCATTTCCTCAATTGTGTCCTCTTCTTCAGCAATATTTCTCACCCTATGAACTATTATACAGTCTTCTGTGATAACTTCATTTTTGTTAATTCTTTCTGATAATGATATACACGGATCTTCCACAGATTCGTATTTTCTACTTGAAATGTCGGGATGTTCAATGTCCTTCGGCTCTTCACCCAGTCGTGGATGCTCTATTGGCTTCTCATGAGTAGTTTGCGGATTCGTTCCCCTGTTTTCCCTTTTATCTTTTCTCTCTGATTTGAACATTTTTTCAACCTTTGAAAACAGTTCTCTTAAGTATGACATATAGAATAAAATCACCCAATATCTACCTTTCATCAATACAGCCTTGATAGCTGTGGTGAAGCTATTGTTGTACAGGATTGGATTTATGACAGAGTTTATGGGAAGAATCACGATAGACGATATCGGATACAGGGCTGTTCCATCAATGAAATCAAAAAAGTGCATAATACAGACTGTAATAAAAGGGATCCAGCAGACGAAGTCTGTAAGGATTATTAAAGCAACGTATCGCTGGGTTTCGTCCTTGTCTCTTGACAGCTTGTTTTGGGCTTCGTTTTTTCTTCTCATAGCGCTGTTATTTCGTCTCGAGCGCTTTGAAGTGAATATTACTATGGTGTAGCAGGTAAACATAATTGTAAAGCACAGAAGATTAAGCAAAAGGTTCGCCCAGACATACATCTTTTGAGGGTCGTCTCTGGACACAAAGTATTTGAAAAGGCAAACACCATCGTTTCCATAAAAATGAACCTTCCGCCGCCCTATCCCGTCATATTGTTTGGAAAACATACCGTCAATCAAACTGTTTATTTTTTTCCAACTGGAAACTGCAGATATAGATATTCTTCCGTAGTAATTTTTAATTGTGTGGATGTGATCGTTTTTGTTGACAAATGCCGAAAATAATTTGATATTTGGATTGTAAGTCATTCCGTTGACAAAGAAGTCCTCAAGGTTGTCGACCAAAGGTGTATACGCAAAACAAAATGATACAAGTGCCATCGTCACGATTAGGATGATCATTTTTGCGGTAGTATATTTGGATGTGAATTTTTTAACTCTGATCACACCTAGTGCACGAAAAATGCTTAGAAAAGTCATCGAGAAGAGCGATATTTGGGCTCCAAATGTACTGAAGACTCCTAAGAAAGCACATTCACCGCTTGATAACCACCTTGCTCTTTCTTCGCAGTATGAAGTACCGTAGATGAAGGAGTCTACAATTGAGATTGTAAGAAGGTAAGATCCTGTAATCATATCTCCGACATGAACAACAGTTGTCAAAGCTTTATTGATCAGATCGGATGTAAAGTTTCTGGTGGCCAGAAATTTGAAATTCTTAAAAAGTTTGAAGGAGTTCAATATAACTGCTGCACATCCAAGGAACCAACCGAAAGCTTTCAGAGCTCCGTTAGCAATGATGGTAGTTGTACACTCTTCATTACACTCGTCGCTGAAATCGGCACAGTCTATTCGACCGTCACACTTTTGGTGGTGTGCAATGTATCGCTTTTTAGATTTGCACTCAAAGTTGTTCGTGCAATCTTCTTCGTCTGATCCATCCAAACAATCATCAAACAAATTGCAAACTTTTTCGTAGCCGACGCATCTATCATTTTTGCAATTGAATTGGCGGTTTTCGAAATTTCCGCTTTTCCTGTTTTCATAGAGAAAGGTGACTTGAATCGTGTCCTTCAAATTTAATGTAAATACCCGGTCTTCATATTTATCTTCGATCATACACGAGTCATGTTTTAGCAGTTTTAAAGGACATGTAGACTGATATTGGCATTTGTTCGAGCAGCTGAGGTAAACATACGCTTTTCCAAAATAATTTGTACAGTCCAATACTGTTTTGGGTGCCATAAATGCTGTTGAACCGACCAACCCAAAAATGTGGAAAGGGGTGAATTCAACCTTGACGCATGGCGAAAAGTATTGGCCTAGGCTTCTACTGACTCCAGCAACACAATGCACGAGAAATTCTAATGGGTTTTCTCGTCCGAGAGCCACGGGATCTGTGTAGACAGGTTTAATTGATCTGGCTTCAAAGCAAATCCTTGCATGTCCGCAGGTGTTTGATCCGTTACATAGGTCTTGAAATTTCACAAAATTGGATGATCCGGTGCTACACAAAAACACTTCCTCACAACTACTATTATCTTTTACAAAACGAGTCAGTTCGCCAACTCCACAGATCGGCCAAATATTTTTCTCGTCATCTCCATTTTGGCAATCTCCAAACCCATCACCAAGCCACGCAACCGGTATGGATAGTTTCGTCTCGTGACGATATCTGCGATAGCATGTAGATGTGGTCATTACACTGCAGATGCTGGAACTTTCGTCACTTTTATCAAGACAATCTGATATTCCATTGCATAGTTGATGTTTGTGGACGTGACATATGACAGTTGTTCTCAGACAGAGGTTGTCAAATCCATCATCACACAGTCCTGGGGTCTGCTTGCACGTGGCGAATTTTGACACAGTAGATCGGTAACCGTCAATCTGGCACGGAATGACTCCTCTCATTGGGTCTGAACAATTAGTTTGGTCGATGTAGTATTCACAAATGGGTTCCATTCTCTGTTTTAGTCCCTTGAAAACATATATTAGGGCGGAACACCGAGTGAAGTTGTTTAGTTCCATATATGTTTTTCTACTATGTTTTTGTAATAAGCAGCGATTCGGTTCAAATCCTTTTCTCCAGTACGAACAACCGGCTTCGTCCTCACCGTTCTCACAGTCTATTTTCTCGTCACATATTCGTACCGTACTTATATAAGTTTGATCACTTTTGATGCCGCCGCAATAAAACCCGTAACGAAAACCGTTACAAGAGGCCTCATCAAGACAATCATAACGGTCACAAACTCCATTGCATTTCCTTTCATCAGTCATCATATGATTAAGGTTATTTTCATTTCTTATTTTTGAGATGTCCTTTTCAAGATAAGCTATAGGTG